TGCCGAAATGGGGATGTCGCCCACGTGCGAGGCGAACGGCGGCGCCGCTTGGGCTTTAGCTGGAGCTCCCTATGGGGCCGCAAAACGTGTGAGACATGTGCAGAATTGGGGGCCACGCCCACATGCGAACGGTGCCATTGCGGCCTTAGTTGGAGCTCCCTGTTGTGCCACGAAACGCGTGAGGGGTGTGCCGAAACGGCGGCGACGCCCACGCGCGAACGGCGCCGCTGGGGTTTTGGGTGGAGGGGGGTGTACAGAAACGAGGACGGCGCCCACGTGCGAACAATGCAATTTGGGCCTTGGCTGGAGCCCCCTTATGGGACCACGACAGACGAAACGTGTGAAAGGGTATGCCGAAAGCAGGGGCGACGACCACGCGCGAACGGTGCCGCTTGGGCTTTATGTGGATGTTCGCATGGGTCCGCAAAACGTGTGAGGGGTGTGCCGAAACGGGCGTGGCGCCCACATGCGAACAGTGCCATTGGGGCCTTACCTGGAGCTCCCTATGGGGTCATGCGCGCGAGGGGTGTGCCGAAACGGGGGTGGCGCCGACATGCGAACGGCGCCAGTGAGGCCTTAGCTGGAGCCCCCTACGGCCCTACGGGGCCATGACGAAGCGCGCGAGGGGTGTGCCGAAACAGGGGCGACGCCCACCGCGCCTTAATTGGAGTTCCCTGCTGGGCCGCGAGAAAACGTGTGCGGAGCGTGCCGAAAAGGGGGTGGCGCCCGCGCGCGAACAGTGCAAGTGGGGCCTTAGTTGGAGCTCCGTGTGAGGCCACGAAGTGCGTGGCGACGCCCAATTGCAAACGGTGCCGGTGGGGCCTTGGCTGAATCTCCCTATGGGGTCGCGGCGCGCGTGAGGGGTGTGGCGGGAAAGGGGGTGGCGCCCACCCGCGAACGGTGCAATTGGGGCCACGGGTGGAGTTCCCAGTGGGACCACGACGGAAACGCGTGGGGGGTGTCCTGGGATGCGGGCGACGATGACGATCACGATCACGACGATGGTGATGATGATGATGATGATGATGATGATGATGGTGATGGTGGTGATGATGATGATGATGGTGATGGTGATGATGATGATGATGATGATGATGCTGGTGAGGATGATGATGATGATGATGATGGTGGTGATGATGCTGTTGATGGTGATGGTGGTGGTGATGATGCTGATGGTGATGATGATGTTGGTGGCGATGCTGATGAGGATGGCGATGATGATGATGATGATGATGATGATGATGATGATGATGATTGCAATGATGAGGATGATGATGGCATGCGAAGAGCAGTCGCAGGGGAGGGAGAAGGGAGGAGGGGGAGGAGCGATGGGAGACGCGGGGCGTTGTCTCTTGAAAAACGGGGACCCAACACCAGAGGATGGTTGGGAGCAATGTGCAGGTAATCTTTCGGTTTCGCGCGAAAGAGGGGGAATGCGTGATCTCCCAGGTGGCGAGAAGTTTCGCACGTTCCGTTGCGACAACCATTTGGGCTATTTGCGGCTGTCTGGCGCTTAGCCGAATCTGCCGCCCACCAGACTTCTTCAGCAGCCACCCGCGATGCCGCCCGTGCTCGGCGGTGACGTCGGCGATGCGGCATCGAGGAGGAACAGCGACATCCGTGTAGAAGGTTTTTTTGGGGCAAGCTCGCGGCGCACTCTGGGGCGGCTTTGCGGCGATGTGGAGGCGGCGCCTCGCGTGCCACATCCGCTGCGGGGCCACCTCGGGGCGGGCCATGCTTGCGCCGCCCATCAAAGGCGACCAGATGTTCAAAGCCGTGGAGGATGGATTCTGGCCCTTTGCTGTGCTGTATGCGGCTGATTTCGGCCTGCGCAACTTCAATTGCATCAGCCGCACGACCCGTGGGACGTGGTACTCCCATCATCGGAGGTTCGGCAGGGTTGAGGCGTGGGTCGTGCGGCTGATCAGAAGCGCAGGTCTGATTGACATGGGGCTGAACGAGTATAGCGTCCATCTGACATCCCAGAGGAGCGGCCCACAGGGCAGAGGCCCCAGCGCACGAAACCTCCACTTGTCACACATGATTGACAATGATATCGATTGCTTGTGGAGCATTCTCAATGACCCCGCGGGCAACTGCGGCGAGCCAATCAGATCTCAAGCGGGCAAGGTCATCCAGTACACGGGGGCGAACCCAGTCGGCGACCTCCAGGACTGGCCCGAGGCGAACGACGACCCCCTGTGCCGCATCGGCAGCTGGCGCGAGGTTGCTGGCACAGTATTCTGTGGGGTGTATGGGTGTAGATTTCTGTGGGTTATAGTATGGGCGTATGGGTGTCTCATTATGTAGGGCGTGTGGGGCTTATTACATTACGAGGTGTATTGGTGTATTAGTATGTGGGGCGCTTGGGTGTATTATCAGTGTATTGGTGTAGGTGCGTGGAAGCATGGGCGCTCTCAGAATATTATTTTCTCTTAGACCCCAAATAATAATAGGCTAGCCCATCGACGTCAAGTTTGCAGAGTTCTTCGATTTATCGTGCATGGACGTCTGGGGCCAGCTGGCAGAGCTCGGCCCGCCACATAGGGCGCGCCGCCGCCCGCCGACAGAGGAGCTCGACGACGACGGGCCCGGCGAGTCCGACGCTGATGGCGATGATGATGCCGGCGGTCGTCGCCCTTCGCCTCCTCGCCAGCAGCCGCCGCAGCGGGCGAAGCCGAAGATGCGCCCGCCGGCGTCGTCGCGGGCGCCGCAGACGCCCCCCAGGGCGCCGCAGACGCCTCCCAGGGCGCCGCGGACTCCGCCGACGCTCCCCGCGGCCCCCGCGCCGCCCAGGCGGCGGGCGGCGCTGCCGTCGCACCCGCCGCCCATCAGCTTCTCAGGCAGCAGGGCGCCCAGAGGTTCGGCTGGCTCAGCCGATCAGGCGGCAGGCGCCGGCCCTATGCAGCCTCGGCCGACGACGGCAACGCGCCGCAGCGCCCGCCGCCAGGCCGCCCGTCGACGTCGGCGTCGGGCGCGACCACGGCGCAGCAGCAGACGCAGGAGTTACAGCGCCGAGTGGAGGTCTTGCAGGCGACGGCGGGCGCCCTGATCGGCATTGCTGGATGCGGCGGCGCGCCAATGGCCCCGGCGGCGTCTTCAGCTGGCTCGGCTGCGGCGGCTGCAGCGGCTGCTAGGAGAGATGAGTGGCGTGGCTGGCGCCCGGCCGCGCACCGCTCAGCCGCGTGGAATTCGAAGGAGTTGGCTAGGGCCAAGATGCACGCCGCCGGCGTCGGGCCGTCAGGGGTCCGCGCGGCCCCGCAGCCCGCCGCGTGCAGCCAGTGCCACCGTAACCAGCCTGGGTCTTGTTGCATTAGGATGGCGCGCAGGGTGCGATGCCAGGGCATGCAGCAGCCTGGCTCGGACAACATTTGCAAGCAGCACAGCGCTTGGAAGTGGCGCTCATGCCACGCGCGCGCAGGTGCCCTCAGTTTTGCGATTGGCGATCGCGGCGCTGTCGTCGGCAACTTGACGATGTCGATATCATCGCCGCTGGGCCGCCTTCATCTTGCTATCATAAGCGGCCTTTGCGCTTGATCGGCGCCCCCATGTGGAGAACAAACAACAGCGTAATCATGCAGCAGAGGAGGGGTGGACTGTCGGTGGGGCAGAGGCGGGGGAGGGCAATCACAACGAGGACGATGATAAGGACGACGATGGCGATGATGACGATGATGCTGATGCGGAAGATGACGATGATGATGATTATGATGATGGACATGGTGATGTTCAGGGCGATGCTGATTGCGCTGCGGACGCGCGTAATGAGGGGGGGGGGGGGCGACAATGGCGCATTGCCCAGCGGCCCTCGGTGTAGACGTCGGTATGGAACAGGTTCGAGAAGCTTTGCGCTGGTGCAGAGTTGTGGCTTTTCAAAGTCGGCTTGGAAAAAAAGAGACCCCCCCAACTCCCAGGGCGCCCGTTGGTTGTATTCATTTTTATACGGATATGGCGACTGGCAATCTTGGTGGCAGTGGCAGGCCATTCGCTCTTTTTTCGGGGGGTGCGCCAGTTGCGAGCTGGTGGTCTTGAAGTTAACCCCCATGCCGCGCCGGCGGCGCCCAGCGCCGTCGAGGGCGCAGGGGGGGCCACAAGAAGGAGCTGGACCCGCCCGCCAGACCTGACTGCGTGCCGCCCCACGGTTTGCCTCAGCTGCGCCTCGCCGAGAGCGGCCAGCGTCGTTGCGTTCATCTGGAAAGGGTGGCTGCGTCCATCGGGCCGAGGGTCGAGTGTGCTACCGCTGCCGCGGGATGAGTTTCGCGCTGTCTGTCGCCAGTTTCTCGGGGCGGGGCTCGCGGTCTCCGCGGGCACATTGGATTGGGCATCCCAGGGCATCTCCGATCCCACAATTAAATAGGGAATATTGGATTGGGCATCTTGCATTGGGCATCCTGGATTGGGCATCTTGAACTGGACACTCTGGCTCGTAGAGCTCCCCGGGGTCCACTTTTCGGACTTCCGTCGGCTGCTTCGGCCGACGGCCAGGCTGCGTCGGCCGACGGCCAGGCTGCATCGGCCAGGGCCTAGCGGCGAACCAGGAGTGAAATATGCGGAGAATCATAGGAACAACAATCTTATAAGGGGGTGTTGTTTCTTGCCTGTCCCGAGGTGCGATGCTCGGAGATCTGAGTAGGTGCTCGCCCCCACGCGACATTCGTATTCTTCTCGGGCCACCATCGTCGATGTCGCCGTCGCTCGGCTGCAGACGCTCGTCGATGCCCCCCCCCTCCCTTCGCCGCCCCCGCTTCCTGCTGCCCGCCTCCCCAGCCGCTCTTCTCGCCGCCCCGTCGCCCGGCCCCGCGGCCCTTTTGGCCCCCGACCGACGCGGGCTGCAACGGCCCGTCGGCCATTTAGCGCTTGCGCCCACTGACTTGCAGGGGCACAACGGCTCCCAAGAGGCGCCGATCAGAGGCTGGGTCGGCCCCGCCACCGATGAAACAAAAATGCCAAGGCCAAGGCCGAGGCTTCGGCATCAGAGTCGAGGGGTGCTGTCTCGGCAGGGGTGGGTCTGGCCGATTCGGTCGTCAAAATTCCCGAGGTGCAGCGCCGCGTGGTGGGCCCCGTGCTGGATCTCATCAGTGAGGCCCTGAACATCATCAGCTCGTCATCCATCCTCGCCGACCTCTGTGAGTGCATGCCGCTAACGTTCGCAGATGTCGCCCACGTGGCACCGTTAAAGAAGAAGGATTGCCATGCGGCCCTCGGCGGTGGAGACCCAGTTCACAACAGCAAGGTGTCGTGCACATGCGTGTGCAATTTGTTGCAGAACTTCCATTGGAGCGCGAGTTACCGCACCCCAGTGAACATGGGGCAGGTGAGAGAGATCCACAACTTCAGCCTTCCATCGATGAACCCGCCTGAGGCATTCCCCATGATCGCGATATTCGCCACCGACAGCCCATGCATGGACGTCGCCAGCCACACTGGCAGTCAGCAGTTGGTCTCACCGATCAAGCCCCAGCTGGCCATGCTCAGCAGCATGGCCGATGCGGTGGAGCAGGGCGCGGACGGCGCCGTCTTCGCGCGGTGGAGGAAGCTTGTGCTGTCGGCGCCAGTAACGTTTGAAGTGCACAGGGAGGGCGACGATAGGCATTGGCGCACACAGAACATCAGGCAAGAGTTGATCGAACAGGGCGAGACAGCCCAGCTTAGCGCGAGGCAGCGGGTGCATGACATAATCGGGTTCAAGGAGATGAAGGAGAATGAGCTGTGGAAAACTCTGGGCAGCAAGGACGTCAGCTACCTGTGCGACAAGCATGCGCTACGCCCGGTCTACTGAGAAAGTGAAGCCTACGTTTGTGCATGACGCAATCACGGTTCACGAGCGGCTGTTGCCCCTGGAGGTCTCCAACAGGTGCCTCGTATGGGCGGAGGAGAACATGATGGGCGACTCCCCGTGGAAGAGCATCTACGCCATACAGGCCGTGGTCGAGCGCGCATCAATTCCCAACGGGATCAAGTGGGCGATGGAGGGCCTCACCGACCATTGCCGCATGGGCCGAGGGCGGCGGTTCTGAAGGTCATCGCTGGTCGCGTCAACCCGTCGTCTTGCCGTCGGCGGGTAGGCGGTCAAGCGGCGGGGCGGGGGGGGTCAGAACCGCCAGGAGTTCATCGACGTGGAGATCTTGAACTTGAAGTTTGACGCGAAGAACGAGCTCCTGTACAAATGGCTCCCGCGCACTGGGGTCCCGACCGAGCATTTCAAGGTGATCCAAGACAAGATGGGGAGTTGAATCGGTGAGAGCTTGTGTCCGTGGTTACCCAGGGCAGTACGTCGGTACCACGTGGTAGGCATTGATGAAGCAGTCGGCGGTCTCGGCCGTCATGCCCATCGAGGAACTGGTGCACGCCGCCGAGTTCGACTGTCGCCATAGGAACGCGACCCAGTCAAAGCTAGAGGTGGCGGGCTTTCTTGTTTACGATTCGATATCCACGCGCGTGAATGAGGTCATTGAGATGGTGAAGAGGGAGAACGGGGCAGCGCCAGCCGGGGGCACGCCTGCAGCGGCAGGGGGTGGCGTTGCTGCCGCTGGAGCCGACGCCGCAGCTTTGGCCAGCGCTAGCGGGGCAGCGGTGCCAGGCGATATCACCCCCCCGAGCTGCTAAATTTCAGCTAGATGCCAGAAGTGGGTAAGATCAATGGGAGTAAGCACATCGACAAGCTCATCCGCGCTTGCACCCAGATCGTGACCGACCAGAAAACGCAGGCTAAGTTGGAGGTCCTTCTTGGGAACAGCGCGTTCGCCACCGTCAAGGGCGACCCCGCTGGGTTGGTGCTGTGCCACTTTGACGCGAAGCAGTTTGGGGGGCCGCTGACAAGGCCCGAGTTGCGCATTGCGCCCTAAGGGATGGCCCGTGCCACCGCGTTGTCAGGGCCATGCTGAATGCGCGGGCGCCCCAGGGGCAGCCCAGTCATCTTCGGAATGGAGAGGTCGCAATTGTTCTTGATGGTGGGCAGAGGGGCAAAGCGACCAAGCTGTTGGCGCCGTGGAAGGAGAACACCGCCAAGAAAACGCCATCGAAGGGGCGTGGCGGTGCCGATGACGAGGAGGACGTCGACGCAGCGGCTCATGACGACGATAGCGGCAATGAGAAGAAGGCCAGCTTTAAAGCTTCGGTCCTCCAGCCCGCGCACACGGAGGATAGCTTCAAGTCGCGTCGCACCAGGGTGCATGGAGGAGCGGGGAGTCTCCACCATATTGAATGGGCGCACATGTTGGCTCACTCGCGCGTCTGGGTCCCAGAGCGGCGCCGCAAGCACTTCGACGGCAGCGCAGCCGGGGACCTGATCACGGGCCTGGAGTCCCAGGGATCTCGAAGAAGTCGCACGTGCAGTGGAAAGACAAGAAGGCGATGTACGGCAAGAAAGAATATCATCGCCGTGGGTGGCAAAACAGAAGGCATGGAAGATACGGTCGAGCGGAAGATTGACGCCACCAGTGCCCCCGTGGCGTTCCACGGAATGCCCATCCTCTTCTACCTTGAGTTGCTGCACGTATTCTTTTGCAAATGGGTCCTCGGTCTCACCCCACCCGATGCTCAATTCGCATGGGCTTGCCTCCAGCAGAGGGTTGCATACGTTGGGGTGGCCTTCGCAAGGAGCACATAGACAAGATCTACGACCGCCTGGCGGACCTCGCGAAGACAGCGATGGCGGACCCCAGGTCTAAGTTGTTCAACAAGGGCTACGCGAGGGCCATCGGCAGTGAGGTGGTGCCGAAGGGCTCCGCCGATGGCGGCGGCAATGGAGGCGGCGGCCGCAGCCGCGGCCGCGGCGGCCGCGGCGCCGCCGGGAAGGCGGCGGCTGAGGGCGGCGATGGTGGCGCCCCTGAGGCGACGGCTGGGGGCGGCGGCGATGGTGGCGAGCTTGAGCTCGACATTGACAAGGGCGACGGGCTCGGCGATGACGACGATGGCGTGGGGGTGGCCGACGCCGGCGAGCAGCTCTGGGACCCCTTGCAGGATGAGTGAGGCAAGTCGGGAGACGACATGTACGGAGGCGTGTCCAATGGCAGTTTTGATGATACTTGCAGTCTTTGCGCTTGTTGTTCACGACAACGCTACATATGGGGGTTCAGGCAACACTTTTGCGCGCACTTGACATAGCTGTATCGGCGGACACACAAGTACGAAGCAGGCAGTTTCGGCCAGCATACATCGCGCATCGATAAGACAAATCATCACGCTCTCAACGTAATGATCCTCGCCATTGCATCCCCATTGATGAGGGTTGCGGCGCGCCATGTCAACGGCTCCCGCCGTCAGCCGATCGATCGATTGTTGGCAGTCGTTTCGGCTGCAGGGACTTGCGTGATGGCTTTTTGGAGGCCCGCCCAGTTTGTATGTCTATTATCTCCCACTTTGGTCACGGCGCTTGTAGGATCCAGCCTGAGAGCGGTCAAAAATGCGTGGCCCTTTTGGACCATATGCACCCGCTCGTTTACCGATCTGTTCTCGTTTCGAACAGCGCGCCGAATCCGAATGTGAATCCTGTCCAACAGCCATTGGTGCAGACACCATCGCCACTGGCCTCGCTTGACGCAGCCGCGTGTCGACCGTTGCTCACTGCCGGCAGCAAGCAGCGGCAGGATGCGTTAACCGAGGCATTGGCCGACGGTGGCGATGAGTGGGTGGTTGGGCGGGCGGGCGTGGAGACGTCGCGCCTCGTCGCGCCGCTGCCGCAGCTCACTGCCGACAGCAAGCTGCGGCAGAAATGTGGTGCGATTCGCCGAAGGCAGCGGCGAGCCGCGGCGGCGCTGGGGAGGGCCTGGGCCCCGTCATTGAGCGAGTCGCGGTGGGGGAGGTTTGCGCGGGGATGGATCGGCCCCCCGGATTCGCCGACGGCAGCGAGCTGCGGCAAGGGCGGCCGCCTCCACCGCCAATGCAGCTCGCTGCCGACAGCGAGCTGCGGTCGGGGAGGTCTGTTAAGCGATTCGCCGACGGCAGCGAGTTGCGGCAAGCGCGGGCTTGTCATGTCCAACCTCGCCCCCGAAGCTCACTGTCGACAGGGGGCTGCGGTGGGAGAGGTCTGTCAAGCGAATCGCCGGCGGCGGCGAGCTGCGGCGGGGGCGAGGGGCAGCCGCCCCCGCATTCATTGCCGACGCTGCGGTGGGAGAGGCACGGGGCGCGATTCGCCGGCGGCTGCGAGCTGCGGCCAGCGCGGGTTTGTGATTTCCTATCCCGCCTCCGCAGCTCGCTGCCGACAGCGAGCTGCGGTTGGGGAGGTCTGTCGAGCAGACGGCGGCGACGAGCAGGGGAGGCAGGGCCAGCCGCCCCCGCAGCTCACTGCCGACAGCGAGCTCCGGTAGGAGAGGTCTGTCGCGCGATTCGCCGACGACAGCTAGCTGCGGTAGGGGCGGCTGCCTCCGCCGCCTCCGCAGCTCACTGCCGACAGCGAGCTGCGGTGGGAGTGGTCTGTTGCGCGTTGCGCCAACGGCGGCGAGCGGTGGCGAGCGCGGGCCGCCATGTCCAAGTCCGCCTCCGCAGCTCGCTGCCGACAGGGAGTTGCGGTAGGAGAGGTCTGTCGCCGATTTTCCGACGGCAGCAACGGCGGCTGCGTCCGCATTTCCGCAGCTCACTGCCGACAGCGGGCTGCGGTAGGAGAGGTCTGTTAAACGAATCGCCGACGGCAGCGAGCTGCGGCCCGTGCGATTTGTTTCGCGGGGGCTGCGGTAGGAGACTACTAATAGCACGCTCCGCCCGCCGCCCACTGTCGGCAGCGAGCTGCAGCGACCGTGGTTTCAGAGCATGCAGCGAGACCTCTGTTGAAATAGGGCGAACCAGATGTCTCGCAGCGCGCTCTGAAACCAAGCTTACCGCAGCTCCCTGTCGACAGTGAGCGGTGGGGGAGCATGCTATTAGTAGTCTCCTTCCGAAGCTCCCGCGGATGCAACTGCAAAGGCCGCGCGGTCGTCGTTCGGGCCTTTTTGTTTCGCTGCCCGTCGGCAAATCAGCGACAGACCTCTCCTGCCGCAGCTCGCTGTCGGCAGCGAGTTGGGGGGGGGGGGGGCGGCAGAGGCGGACCGCTGGCGAATCGCGCGACAGACCTCTCCTACCGCAGCTGGCTGTCGGCAGTGAGCTGCGGGGGCGGCTGGCCTGCCCCCCCCTACCGCAGCTAGCTGCCGTCGGTGATTCGCTTGACAAGCCTCTCCTACCGCAGCTCGCTGTCGGCAGTGAGCAGCGGGGGCGGCTGTCCCTGGCCCCTCAGGTCGCCGTCGTCGTTGGCGACTCGCGCGGCAGACCTCTCCCACCGCAGCTCGCTGTCGGCAGCGAGCTGCGGGGGCGGCTGGCCCCGCCCACCCGCCCCGCCCCATCTCGCTGTCGCTGGCGAATCGCTCGACAGAGTTCTCCTTCCGCAGCTCGATGTCGGCAGTGAGCTGCGGGGGCGGCTGGCCCCGCCCCCCCCCTTCCACAGCCCGCTGCCGTCGGCGAATCGCGCGACGGACCTCGCCTGCTACCGCATCCCGCCGTCGCCGCGGAGGCGGTGGAGTTCCCCCCCTGCCGCAGTTCGCTGCTGTCGACGATTCGCTTAACAGACCTCTCCTACCGCAGCTCGCTGTCGGCACTGAGCTGCGGCGGGGGCGGCTGGCTCCGCCTCAGCTCGCCGCCGTCGGCGATTCGCTTAACAGACCTCTCCCATCGCAGCTCGCTGTCGGCAGCGAGCTGCGGCGTCGGTGGGGGCGGCGAACCCCCCCCGCAGCTCGCCGGCGTCGGCGACTCGCTTGACAGACCTCTCCTTCCGCAGCTTGCTGTCGGCAGAGAGCTGCGGCCGTGCCAGACGCCCCCCCCCCCCCCCCCCCCCCCCCCCCCTTCCCCCGCCGCCGCCGCAGCTCGCTGCCGTCGGCGATATCGCGCCACGGACCTTCCCTACCGCGGTTCGCAGTCGGCAGTGAACGGCGGGCAAGGCCACCCCGTCTCCTTCGCCCCATTGTTACCGCAGCTCGCTGCCGTCGGCGATTCGCGCGGCAGACCTCTCCGACTGCGGCTCACTGTCGGCAGCTAGATGCGGCGGCGGGAGATCACCTAACGCTCCATCCCCCCCCTGCCAATCCCACCTATGCTCGCCGCCGTCAGCGCATCGATCTGCGTTGATGGAGGCGTTGCTTGGAATGTTGCGGGCCGCTTGATTGCGCAAGAGGCCGACGTTCTAAACCGACGTGTTTTATAAGCCCACAGAAATTGATAGCAATTAAATGTTGTCCCCCCTTGGGCTGCATGGCCGTGTGATTCGTATCCGTCGTCATTTCATTAGCGGTTTGGGCGCAGCGGCAGCATCGGCGCGTTGTCCTACCCTACCACACCCATTGCCCCCATCAGCAGTCGACTTTGGTGCCGCCATTGATCATGGGGAAGGTCTGTCTCCCAGGCAGTCGACGAGGCCCAGGCAGTCGACGAGGCAGCCGCGGCGCCCTATGATCCTGAAGGTGGGGTCTGATTTTGCATGGGGTAGAGACGGCGTCAGTGGCCCTTGGGGGCATGGGCGTCGATCACCTCTTCGAATTTGTCAGCGAGGCCGATCCGGCCTGCGTGTCGGTCATCCAGGAGAAATATCAGCCAGTGCATACTTATGATAACATCTTGGGCCGGACCAGCGAGGAGGACACCTA